TATTGACTCCTTCCTTCTCATTGATGCCTATTAGTCTCACATTGTTCATCTTTGCATCATCTTGCAGGTATTGAATTATTTTTTCCTGTATCCTAGTTGTTTTGAAGAGATCTTTTCTTACTTTTTCACTAGCTGCGATGGTGTCTTTCAGGTCAGAAAGTCTATTTTCACTTTCATGCAAACAGTTTTGCCAGCTTGTGATTGAGGTTTTAATTTCCTGTATATCACTTTGAACCTGTTTCATAGATTCTATTTCTTTCCTCAATTGTTCATTCAGGGGTTCCATCATTTTTATATTCTCCTCTATTTTTTTGTCAGCGTATTCTTTAGAAGCACTTAGTACTTCTTTGATTATAGTTACCACTACATTTTTTAGTTCCAAAATTATTTCTGATCTGATTTCTTCTATATCTTTCTGCAGTTGATTCTTTACTGTCAACACTATTATTTCAGAGATATCTGGTGTGTGATTTCCAGTTTCCTCAGTGCTAGTGTCTTCTGCAGTTGTACTGGGTGGACTTGGGGCCTGAGACTGCATTTTGTTTGTTCTCTTTGTCATTTTGTATACCACTGTCTTCTGACCTTTGGTGTAGAGCTTAGATAGAGTTATTACCTTAGCACCAGGTCCAGATCTATGAAGTTCAGATTCTTCCAGGTGGGTGTTGTTTGAATCTGGCTGCTGTGCTCCACTTCTTTCTGCTGCAGGCGTTAGAGTTGAACCCTTTGTGTCTCTCTGGGAAGATGTTCTGCTCCTGAATCAGCTGGGTGGGTTTTGCCTCTAGCCTCTTTGCAGGGAGTTCTGCTGAAGGGTTCCCTGCTGGGTCTGCAGTCTGGGTCGAATGAGGATCCACTGGCCCGGGTTGTCTCACTCACTGGCCGGGCCTGCACTCTGGGTCTGTTCAGGATCCCGCGCTCTTGGTCGTCTCACTCACTCCCCAGGCCTGCGCTCTGGGTCTGTTCAGGATCTGGAGGGCCCCAGTCATCTCACTCACTTGCCGGGCCTGCGCTCTGGGTCTGTTCAGGATCCCACAGGCCTTCGGTAGTCTCACTCACTCGCCAGGCCTGCACTTTGGGTCTGTTCAGGATTCGGAAGGCCCTGGGGGCAAAGCTCCTTTTTGAAGCCTCTTGGAAGGGAAAAAGTGAACACATGGCTGAGCCACCCCACAGGAAGATCTGGGCACAGTGGGCTGGAATGATTTTAGCATGAGCCCCGGTAAGCAGTGAGTCAAGCACAGCCAGTAATTGGGGCACTAAGGTGGATGAATCACTGAAAGAGTACTGCTCTTCCATCCTAGTTGGTGGCCGGCATGAACTACTACTTGGATATGGAGATTGGCAGAACCATCTGTCCCAAGGACCAGCCGACCCAGGATGACTGTCCACTCAGTGAGGAGGAACCAGTATGAGTTTCAAGTTGGCAGGGACCAGTTAGGCAGTGGGGGAGAGAGAGAGAGAGAGAGAGAGAGAGAGAGAGAGAGAGAGAGAGAGAGAGTGTGTGTGTGTGTGTGTGTGTGTGTGTGTTTGGCTAATGAAACGTGTGTGGGAAGCAGAGCAGGGCTGTGCACCCAGGATTGATTATGGTGCTGAGAAGAACCCTGAGAACTTGGATGCTGGCAGGCAACCCTTGCACTTGGGGTGTTCCTCCTGAGCTCATGGAGCAGTAGCAGGGCTGGTAAGGAGGGAGAGGGCTCTGGGAGTGACAGTCTCACCACACAGAGACAGGTTGAATAGGATAGGCCTGAGAGGGCTGAGACACTACACTACCCTCAACTTCAGCATCTCCTGAATGCTGGGTCCCTAACAGCCATGCTCTGGGCCCTGAGTTCCTGTCACCCCTCCAATGCAATCTCTTTGAGTCCCTAGGTCTAGTTCTGTCCTGGGTGCATGTCAGCACTGGTCTAGGTGAGGTGGAGGTGCTGGGCCCAGCCCTGGCTATGGCCCCTGGTCTTCTGGTCCTGAAGTTCTTCTTTCTGGTGGCCCAGAGTCATGAAGACCTGAGATCCGTGAAATGGGGACAGTGCCCTGTGAGGACTTCTCCTCCACCACTAAACTTCTCTGATTTTAATGAGTAGGCATCTTCTTCCCCTGCAGCAACACTCACCTTGTCTTTCTCTTCTTTTGGAAGACACAGTTCTGCTCCTTTGTGGTCTACTCCATACCCTGGGAGCACTACATGGCCCTGACAGACTCCAGCTGTCACAGCACCTGAGGTTCTGTTTCAGGCAGGCCACAGTGGCTGCACTCTCCTCAGTGCCTCAGGACCTGGGCTCCAAGACAGCAGGCTTCTCTGGGCAGTGTGGACACCCAGGAACTGTCCCCTTTTCCCTTTTCTGTGCTTCTCAACCACACCTGTGGCAGACGAATGAAGACAACTCTTCATTGCTCAATAAAAACCTGCACCAGCTCCCTTGGGTGATGTGTTCTCAGGGTGCAGGGGAATTCTTGGGGGAGCTGTCCACAAAGCTAGATGTTGTCTGAATAGCACACAGTTCTTTTGGGCATTGTCATTAACCTGAGGTGGGGCCAAGTCATGGGCACTGAGGCCCCTAGTTCAGTTACTATCACCCAACACTTCCTGTGGGATTTGCCCTCCTGTCCACTCCCTCCAGCTATCTGCAAAGCCCTGGCTCTTCCCTGATAACCACATTGGAAAATATGACCTGACCAGCAAGGCATGTTGCCTTTTCCATCCCAGTCTCTGTGACCATCTGAGTAAGGCCCCTGGCTTAGGTCCATACATGGGGCTACAGTGACTCTTTCTGGGATTCTATTTGGCTGCAAGATGAGAGTGCCTTAGGCAAAGTGCTTGGGACCAGAGTGCTCCAGGTCTCATAGATCTGTGGGATTATAGGAAATCTTCACATATGTGATAAGATTTACTGGGATAGGACACACATATGAGCAACTTGTTCATGTACCCTGCAGCTGCTTGTTACAGTATGATCCTTTCTTCAGTACAGGAAGAAACCTTGAGCTTGATGGTCAGAAGGAGACAGGAGAGAATCCAGCTCAGGTGGCTGGGAATGTCACCTTGATATAGGGGTTCAAATCAGTCTTCCAAACAGACTGCTAGCCACTGTGAAGTACTGGCTTGTGGGTTGTAGTCCTGTGTAAGGATCCATTGGTGTCAGTGTGATTGGTTCTACCCAGGGAGAAACAGTGGCAGGAATGAGGAAAAGATAGACAAGAAGACAAAAGCTGGGTTAGGTGGTGCCTCATCTGCCTGGTTGGCAAGATGACCCCCACCTCCCAGCAACAATATAGATGTTTATGTATACTTGTCCAAAGTTAGTAACATGTGACTCAAGGTTGCCCAGTGACTACTAATAGCGACATTAACCTGTCAGGATGCTTATCTCAGGACTAAGGTAGCTTGTTTGCTTTAGGCACTGAGGCCAAGTATCGCTTATACACATTTGACCAATTTTCCAGCTTTCATGGCTCCCAACATTTCTCCCTTTTTTTGTTTTGCTGTGACAAGAGATGGGTGTACCATTTCAGTTAGAGAAACTGTGTTTGAGAATTCTTTAGAGTACCTTTTCATACTTGATGCCCGTCCAAAGATTTTAGGTACTTGAATTCAACAATGTAACCCTATATTCTCCAACAATCCATAAAGCAATGAGTTATCAGTACAGCTGGTAATTGTCATAAGTTGTTAGTGACTTAGTATATTCACTTTTCATATCTTGTAGTTATACTTTTCTTCTGGATGTTAAGACTAAGTTAAAGTAAAACTTGTATAAATACAATTTTAACCTTTGCTATCTGACAAGGTCAGTTAATCTCCTCAGGATTTACATTGGAAACATGTGCAGAACTTCTTAGATTTTCTATCAGCGTCAGCCATTTGGATGAGTCATGGCCATTGCTTGACCAATTTGCTCTCTTTGAAAGCCTGAGAGATTTTTTTTCTCTCTAGGTGACTCTTCTTACGCAAACTATACATCATCAATCACTGTCCTCTGTGACCTCATAATCTCATTGATCAGAAAATCTGAGACTCAACTGAATTACAGGATGTCATAGCCAAGGTTCTTTTTTGTCCTGAGTCCTCACTGACCTTGAAGGGCTAAGTTCAAAATATTGGCTATCCTTTTAGCCCATTGATTTCTCTAATTTTTGGTCTCCAAACTTTAGTTGTTAAGCATCCAGAAGAGAATCTTGATGACACTACCCTGTAGCAGAGGCAGTAAGTTTAATGTCACCAATATCAAAGTTTTATACCAATATCAAACATCTTAGGCATAAAATACAACTGGCATTTTCTAACAATCATGGCTATTCTAATATTTAAATCCTATATAATGCTAAAATAATTACCTATTCTTGCACAACTAGGCCATACAATTACATATTTTTACACAGATATTTAGAAATCAAAATCATATACAACGTTGTAGCAGGACAATCCTGATGACATTTGTGACATATTTAAATTGTCATTGTGACATAACATTTTTGACTAATCATCTCTTTCAAATACATAAGAAATTTTCACCTAATTAGATGTCCTTAAATCAGATATACATTATAATTTTTTGTTAAAGGCAGAGTTTTGAATCTCAGAGAAAGTCTTATCACAATAAGCAATCTTTGTTTTACATTTTGGAAGGCCTGTACACTTGGAATCATGAATACACTCAGTACACTGTGAGACTAACAATAATGAATTATCATACACATGTAGAAAACCTTTGTTTCTTAACTTAATTTTATGCCAAAACCACTTTTAAGAGAAAACCTAAATGTATAATTTTTTCTGAAAATCTTTCTTTTAGCCAATGACCAATTTACTGAGAGTGTCTCCTAAGAGTCTATTGAGATTATTGAGAGCTCCTCATTAAAGAACAAAAAGATTGACCACATCTTTTATTCATCAATTGGACTCCTCTCTAATAATTTCTCACCAATCTAAGGAATTTTTGCTTAACTAGCTTAAACTTTTTGATAAACTGTGTATAAGTTGATTTTGATATCACTTAGATCAGCTGGTAACTTAGGAGAAAGCATGTTTTAAGTCTATATCCCAAGTTGTACTATGAACAAATGATCAAAAAAGAAAAAAGAGGATCATGTGTTCACAGAATGACATACACATAAACAAATACACAGTACACACAAACAAACATCTTTACAAAATTATGAGTGCATTCAACTATATTCTTCGTCAAATTAAATAGTAGTAACTGTTACAACCTTTTGAAATTTATAACTATAATGTAAATAGACCATTCAGATTTTATTATTTGCCAATAAGCAGAGCTCACTTATCAGAAAATTTGGGAAGAAATAAAATCTTTTATCTATAATTAATATGCATATTTTGTATTTTTGTCTTCATACTAGTAAAATTTAGCTCAGTTATTTTTATACATTTTATCACCTACTTAGACCTCAGCTTTTCAATTTGTCAGTTCCTTCAATAGGCCGCAGGCTGGATCTAGCTTCATCACTGTTAACTTCTTCTCTAGATCTGGTTTCATGACATAACCTGACAGCATTCCCTCATACCCAAATAGGTCATTTAGCATTTCCTAGAAAAACTCAAGCATACCCTCTGCCCCAGGTTAGTAGTGGACTGGGTCCCTTCCATTTTCCAGTATGGAGATCTCTTCAAAGGATGCTTCCTAGCCCTTTTTCTCTTAGTTGATGGAATTCTTTCTGCTGCTGTATTTCTGACTTTTTTAGAACTTAAAAATTTAATAGTGGGGCTGGAGAGATGGCTCAGTGGTCTAAAGCACCTACTTAGAACAAGCTTGGCAAAGCATCAGGGACCGCGGTTCAATCCCCCAGCACCACATGCCAGCCAGTCCCGCCCCCTGGTGGGCTGGGCTGGCCACACACACACACCACACACTCTCTCTCTCTCTCTCTCTCTCTGTCTCTCAAATAAATAAAATAAAATAAAATTAAAAAAAAATTTAATAGTGTATATTGACAAGTAAAATTGTAGGGATTGATCCATCCTTTTCCTGTAATTGAATTTTAATTGTAAAGTGATAAATCTACACCTTATATTTTGGAAGAGGAAGTCACACATTTTCTCACTTAACCTAATATGACCTGTCTGTGAAAAAAAAAAAGCAAATAAGCTTAACGTATCTGAAGGATAATGATAGCAAAATATATCAGAGAAATTACCAATGCCTTGCCTCTTGGAACCAACTGCTATCACTTTAAAAGAACTTCTTTTTTCTTTTTTCTTTTTTTTTTAACCTAATTGAGCAAAACTAAAGAGTTTAAACTCTATCTGCTGTAACTTCACTCCACCCTCCTTGTCCCATTTGGGACTTGATTTTAAAACAGTACTCCATGCTAAGTCCTTTATGGTAGTCTGAGAAAGTAATGTAAATACAGCTACCAAGAAAACAACATATATA